AATTAGCCACAAGCCGAAGCCAACTCATTATAGAGTGGGTTGCTCAGTTTCACCGCTAGAGGGCACTAGTACTTTAGCAAAACCCGAAGTAGTTGCTTCTACCAGTTCTTATCAGCAGATGCTCAGCCCTGCCTGATAATTGCTTCCAGAACCACAGGTCACTTCTGTGAATACCACTGGCCCCTGCTCTAGTGACCTCACCTTTAAGCTCACTTTTCGTGTCAAGTTTTTATCTCTATGTTTTGACATGGAGACCTGGGCACTGTGGTAAATTACTGGGCTACCAAACAAAAGGTCAGTCGTTGGAATTGACTAGGTGCTAGCTCTTGTGGGAGATAGACCCTGCAGTCTGTTTCAGTGACTGCTGTTGTTAGGTGCTGTTGAGCTGACCTCTACTCCTGGTGACCTTATGAAATCAAAAGGCATTGCTGTTGCACTGGACAAATTTACTGTCAAAGGTATCTTCAGAGGGCTAGAGAACAACAACGTTAGCTTAAGAGACTAAGGTGCATCTGATCCAGGCATGTTCTCAATTGCTATGCATCTGAGAGCTGGATAATGAATAAAGATGACAGAAGAAGAGTAAATGTCTTTTAATTGTGGTGCTGGAGAAGCATATTGAAAATACCATGGACTGCAAAGAGAATAGAATAGATCTGTCCTGGAAAGAGTGAAACCAGTTTGCTCTTTGAAGGCAAAGATTTTGAACTCCATCTCAGTCTGGGCATGTTGCCAAGAGGGAGTAGTCCTTGGAGAAGTACATTGTGCTTTGAAGGGCCGAGGGTCAGCACGGAAGAGGAAGACCCTGGATGAGATGGATTGACACAGGGACTGTGGCAATGGGGTGAAGTGTTTCAGAGATGATGAGGTTGTTTTATGATAGGACAAGGTTCAGAGCCACTGTTCGTAGGGTCACTATGAGTTATAGTTGACTCTATGGCTCATAGCAACAACTTCATATGCTGTGCATCAACATCATGTCCCAGGAGAGAAACCTAATTTTTGCACAGTTCTTTTTATTTTTTAAAGTTATCAATAACTTTATTTTACTTAGATGCACAGTCAACATCCATGGAAGTAACTGTCAAGAAATGAAGTGATGTATTTCATTAGGCAAATTTGATTTCTTTACATTGTTGACATGAAATGAAGTTATATTGAGGACTAAGTTATGCCTTGGTCAAACCATGATATTTTCAGTAACCTTGACTTAAGGGCCTTTATTTCAGAAGTACATGGCCAAGCCTGCTTCCTAGTCTGTTTTACCTATGAGGCTCTGCTGAAACCTGTTCCTCTGGGATGACCCAGCTGATATTTGAAAACTGAGTGCAGAGCAAAGTAAGCAAACTGGCAGACACATGAAAGCAAACTGGCAGACACATGATGGCTGTAAATACTACAGGCTCAAAGGACAGTAGGGAAGTTCAACTTTATTCTAAAGGGTCCACTCTGAGTCAGAATCTGCTTGACAGCATGGAGTTTTATAATTCATATCTTTGTGTAACTCAAGGGGCTTTTGAGAGCAAGAAAGCTTAGAAAACCCCTGAAAATCTTCTGTGGTTAGGTATTATAGTAAGCTTCTACCTCCATATATAACCAGAGCTTCATTTGTCTCAATGCTTCTAACAGCTGCATGGGAAGATGCCTACTTA